CAGAGAAACTTCTTCCTCCATTTCTGCTGGAGAATCCTACAATATCAGGTCAGGAATAGGGTTGGGGATTGAAGATGGATTCAGATTCTGGAATCAGACACTTGGATTAATGTTCAGACTCTTGTTCTAAAATCAACATCTGGATTCCTCTTCTCTGTGCACACATGTGTATTTTTCACTTGCTAATCTGTCAGGAACTTGGGCGCTGGCGAGCAGCTTTAATAATCTGAACATAGTTTAGAGATGAACTGCAACATGTGCTCAAAGGCTGCATGTGCTGAAGAACGATGGCAAAGCTAAGTGTGATCACTGTAATAAATGAATGTTGCAGCAGGGTGTCTTCATCAACATGAGCAGTATCTGCGCTCGCTTCACCAACAGCAGAGGAAAAGAACGCACTGTGTTACATTCATTGTGCATCCCGGCTCAACCAACAAGTGTTGTGTGTTTTAGCTCAAGAGTTTGGAGCGTGTAGCTGAGCGGCTCAGTGCTAGCTTTAGCTTATTAGCTGAGGGGGAAACTAAACAGCTCATTCTCTCCATCTGTGTGTGTTTACAGTCTGGATCATGGAGGACACACGAGGATTACAGCAGGACTGCACAAATGTAGGTCTACACACACACACACACACACACACACACACAAACACACATACACACACACACACACACGAGGATTACAGCAGGACCACGCAAATGTAGGTCTACACACACACACACACACACACACAAACACACATACACACACACACACACGAGGATTACAGCAGGACCACGCAAATGTAGGACTACACACACACACACACACACACACACACACGCACACACACACACATGCACACACACAAACACACGCACACATACATACTCACACACATACACAAACTCACACACACACAAACTCACACACACACACACACACGAGCGCGCACACGCACAGATACACACACTCTTACAGACACACACTCTCACAGACACACACGCATACGCACACGCATATGAGCATACACACACGCGCACACACACTCACAAACTCTCACACACACAAACGCACACACTCGCAACCCCACGCACACGCGCACACACTCACATACATGCAACCACATGCACACGCACATACACACACATGCACACATTCTCTCACACACACACACACACACACACACACACATTCTCTCTCTCTCACACACTCACACACTCTCTTACACACACAGACAGACAAACACACAAACAGCTATGAACACATGCGCTCACACACACACACACAATCAAACACACACTCTCTTTCTCTCTCACACACACACACGCACACACACATACACTTCTCTCTCACACGCACACACACACAAACGCATCCTCTCTCTCAAACACACACACTTTCACACATAAACACATACACACACACACACACACACTCTCTCACACACACACACGCATCCTCTTTCTCAAACAAACACACTCACACACATACACACTCTCACACACGCATAAACACACACACATTCTCTCTCTTTCTCACACACACACTCCCTCACATAGACAGACACACACACAAACAGCTATGAACACACAAGCGCACACACACACACACACACAACACACATGCGCGCATGCACGCACACATACTCACACACACACACACACACACACACACACACACACACACACACACACACACAGCTGTGGTTGTAAATGTGTGTGTTCTTGTGTTCAGATGTCTGTTTCCTCACTCTGGATCCAAATACAGCACACACTCAACTCATTCTGTCTGAGGAGAACAGAGAGGTGAAGCGTGTGGAGGAGAATCAGCCGTATCCTGATCATCCACACAGATTTGATGATCATCCTCAGGTGTTGTGCAGAGAGAGTGTGTGTGGATGCTGTTACTGGGAGATTGACTGGAGTGGAGATCGTGTGTTTATATCAGTGTCATATAAGAGCATCAGGAGGAAGGGAAGAGGTGGTGAGTGTTGGTTTGGAGGTAATGCTCATTCCTGGAGTTTGCTCTGCTTTTCCTCCAGTTTCACATTCATACACAATGACACAGACACTGATCTCCCAGTGAAGCCGCTCAGCAGGAGAATAGGAGTGTTTGTGGATCACAGTGCAGGAACTCTGATCTTCTACAACATCTATAGAGACACAATGAGCCTCATCCACTCAGTCCAGACCACATTCACTGAGCCGCTCTGTGCTGGGTTTAGGCTTTATCCTGGATCATCAGTGAAACTGAGCTGAAGACTGACGAGAGATTTACCCAGAATCCTCTGCAGGAGCAGTCAGCAGCAGTGTGTGTGTGTGTGTGTGTGTGTGTGTGTGTGTGTGTGTGTGTGTGTGTGTGTGTGTGATGCATGTTTGTCTGTGTGTGTGTGTGTGTGTGTTTGAGAAAGAGTGTGTGTGTGTGTGTGTGTGTGCTCGTACGCATGTGTTCACTACTGTGTGTGTGTGTGTGTGTGTGTGGGAGAAAGAGAGAGGGTTTGTGTGTGTGTGTGTGTGTGAGAGAGAGAGAGAGAGAGTGTGCATGTGTGTGAGAGAAAGAGGGTTTGTGTGTGTGTGTTTGTGTGTGAGTGCGTGCGTGCATGCGTGCGTGTGTGTGTAAGAGAGAGAGAGAGAGAGAGAGTGTGCTTGTGTGTGTGTGTGTGTGTGTGTGTGAGAGAGAGAGAGAGAGAGAGAGAGAGAGAGTGTGTGCGTAGGAGAGTGTGTGTGTGCGTAGGAGAGTGTGTGTGTGTAAGAGAAAGAGTGTGCGTGTGTGTGTGTGTGTGCGCAGGTTTACTATTGTTTGTGCATGTGTGTGCGTGTTCACTGCTGTGTGTGTGTGTGTGTGTGTGTGTGTGTGTGTGTCACCATTCACACTCAACAACAGTCACTGCATTTGTCAAGTTACAGTCATTAAATCCTCAACACTTCTAGATGTTCTCCTGTGTTTAATAATAGATGCAGTGTTTTGTTCATGTCTTTGTTGATTTCATTTCTCCTAGAAACACAGATTGCTTATTTTGCTCGGCCAATAAGAACTGAATTAGTGGACATTTGTATTTCTGCATTTGCTTTACTGAAAGCCTCAAATAAAAACCTGTTTTGAACAGAAATGAGGCATTGGTGAAAATAAAGCAGTCAGGATATTAAACAGTGGAGAAAGTCTCGTACACTCTGTAAAACAATGAACAATAGTTTCTCTCTCTGGACAAAATGGACACGTCTCACTGATATTAGGGCTCATTTGTGTTCACAGCTACAGCAGCATGTAATATTCTCCACTGCAAGTGTCCTCCTCTTCTCATCAATGCTGCTTTATAGATCATTCTCCATTCTGCTTTCATGACTTCTTCTACTGCCAGTGTGTTTCTCCATACCGTGTCAGTTCTGTCTTTTAAAATGTGCTCGTTATTTATTTCCACAATATCTCTGTCAAATATTTCACCTTCGGCTGAACTAACATCAGCACTTTCATTAAAACACAGCGATGGACTATTATCCCCAACATCTCCAACAACAGCTTCAGTTCTGATATTAGGGAAAACTCCTCGTCATCTGGGATAAAAAGATCCCGACTAGAACTCTCCAGCAGTGTTTTTCATTCAACATCACACTCAGTTTATCTAAGAGTTTCTGTGCAAACCTTACTGATCCTATTCCCATACATTTAGCAAGATTCACTCAGTCCAGTGCCTGCTTCGTCAACAATGTCTCTCAATCGTGGCATTGTTTTGGATACTGATATGTCCATCAATCCTGGAGTGTCATCTCCTGACAAAAACCACCGGCTCTTCAAGACTCTTGGGCCCAAACAATAGTCTCTGGATGACCTGCAGTCTATACGCTGCTCCTCTACTCACAAGATCAACCAAGCCTTGACCTCCTTCATCTCTTCGTGAGAAGAGAACACTTTGAGGGATCCAATGTAGGTTGTCCCAGAACAAATTGACCATCTCTCTTAGAAGATTCGGTAGTAAACCAATAGGGGGGTCTCCACACGCCAGCTTGTGCCATATAGAGGATCCAGCAAGCTGTTAACTATAAGTGTGCGGCCTCTATACGATAACTGGGGAAGTAACCATTTCCATTGTTGTAGAAGTCCTTGGATTTTCTCAAGCGTGCCATTCCAGTTCTTCTGAACACAGTCATCTTCACCCGAGGTATTTCAAGCCTCCTTTCTTCCATGTCAAACCTCCAGGTAACTTGGGAGGGACACCGCTCCAGCTGCCCACAAGCAGGGCTTCACTCTTTCCCCAGTTGACTTTAGCAGAGGAGATCTTCTGAAAATCACTTACAATAAAATCCAGTTTCTGAATATCTTCCGCATTCGATATGAAACAACAACATCATCAGCACAAGCAGAAAGATGCAGAGAAACGTCACAATGAGGAACACACACACCCTTTACCTCAGACCTTAGTTTATTCAGCACAGGTTGGATAGGCAGTGTGTACAACATCCCCGACACAGCACATCCCTGTCTAACTCCTCTCTGTACTGTAAAAGCAGCGCTCAGACCACCGTCGACTTTTAATACACTTTGAATGTCTCTGTACAAAACATTGATCATATTTACAAAAGCTGCGCTCAAACCAAACATTTCTAAAAGCTTTATTAAATATTCATGTTGTATACGGTCTAATGCTTTCTCTTGCTCTAAAGACATCAGTCCACAATTAATACCCAATTACTTCTAAAACATCTCTAACCAAATAAATATTGTCAAAAACTGATCTATTCGCTATACAATAATGTTGATCTTGGTGTATTACTTGACCTATTACCTTACTCAATCGTGTAGCTGATGCCTTTGACAGTATTTTATAATGGGTGCAGTAAAGTGATGCTGGTCTCCAGTTGCTTCTTCTTTGCAAGTCTCCTTTATTGGGAACACAGTAATTACAGCTCTTCTGCAGCTTAATGGGAGTAAACCTTTATTCAAACTGTCATCAAGAACCAAAAGAACAGCATCACCTATCACAGACCACAAAAATTTACAGAAATCTACTGGGATTCATCAATAGCTGGAGTCTTTCCACTTCCCATACTCATTACCGCTGTGTATAATTCATTCTGTGACGATGAGAGCTCAAGCATGGCATTAGAGTCTTCATCAGTGTTTGGGAGATCTTTAACTTCTATATGATCTGTATAATTGTGAATAAAAGTGAACAGCATGTTTACGTATGTCACTGGATTATAAAGTTCCTCTCCTGCATTATTGTTTAGTGAATGAATAATTCCACTTTGGCCATTTTTCTGTTCTAGACTAATAAAGCTTAGAAGGAGCCTCCATTTGTGTGATGTTTATTAAACCTGAATGAATGAATGCTCCTTGTGCTTTCACTCCTCAAAGATCAGCCAGCAAATCTGTGTTTGATTTCCGGGTTTCAGATTGATCACTGCTTGTAGCTGCTGTTGTGTTAAACAGGTCTGTTAGTTCATCCTCTAGTTTCTTCATGGATTCAGGAACTCCTTTAGTGACATTAAAAGTGTTTTCTTGGCATAATTGTTTAATGTGAATCTTGCCACAATCCCACCATTGCTGCAGTGAAGAATAAAGATGTTTTTCTTCTTTAAAATTCCTCCAAATAAAGAAAAGATTTCAATAAATGTGTCATCTTTTAAAAGGGACGTATGAAAATGCCAATAGGCACTCCTAATCTTCACAGAATTAACAATTATAGTACAAATAACAGAAGAGTGATCTGAAAACCCAACAGGAATTATTTTACAATCTTTGACACAATCTGCTTGAAAATGAAACGTGTAACCGGTTTTATTTTTGTAAATGTTGTAGTGACACACGGAGGGTAGGATACACCCACTGGCGTCGGCACATACTCTTTACTGCGTACACCTGGGCAGCTCATTATTGGGAGTGCGTTGATAGTCAGCCCTTTAAAAGGCGTCTGACAGTCAGAACAGAGAGCACACACTTCCTCAGAGTGGAGTGATGATTCCAGATTGCAAGGAGCTGCTGCATTACCGCTTGTTGACTATGGGGCCAGTATGCAGACAACAGAGCAGTTGATAGAGTGGAGTCCCAGCAATAGAGAGCATGAACAACAACGATCGCATGCTTCTAAGAATCCTGAGTTGTCATCAGACATTCTGGCAGAGTTCCAGCAGTTGCGGAGAGAGACAGAGGAACTGCGACGTCATTCATATGAGCAGATAGGGAAGCTTAAAGCAAGGAATGAGGCTTTGGAAGCACAGTTAAGCTTACTTACAGTGAATGAACAGACCAGTATTCACCCAGAGAGTGCACTTTCCCCTGCTCCCCAACCCCGCGTCTACACTCCACTAGTCACTAGTAATGACCGGCCCATCCCTCTGCCTAGATCCAAACTACCTCAGAGACTGAGTGACAGTACAGAGTCATTAAAACAAGATCGCCTACATGACTTGGAACAGAGGCTTCAGCAGTTAGAGCAAATATCGCTCCCAACTCCATCTCGACCCCAACAGTACCAGTCCTTTCCCCATAAAACATCTGACAGAGTGGACAAAGGTAGAATTGGCCACAGTTCCACACCGCTGCGTGCCCCCCCAAGTCAAGAGAGTACATATAGGGGACCAGCTCCAACCATCCCAAACTTTGTGAAGCCAGATCCAAGGGAGTTCTCACGGCTGCGTATAGCTCTAGAGAATATTCTGCCAATGGACGCTACGGAGAGATTCAAGTATCAAATCCTGGTTGATCATTTGAAACTAGAGGAAGCTTTGTTAATTGCAGATTCCCACTGCAACTCATTATACCCTTTTTCAGATACTATGGAGGCACTTAACCAACAATATGGACAGCCCCATCAGTTGGCGCTTCAGAAATATGCTTCAACAACTGGGGAATAAAGGATACATGGAGTTAGAGTGTGGTTCCCATGTATCACGATTGTTGTGTAAGCTTCCACATGACCTGCAGACAAGTTTTAGAAGATCTGTCCACCCACAACAGGTTCCCATCGCTACTTTGTTGGATCTGTCAGAGTGGTTAGAGTTTGAGCTGCAAGTTCAAGAGGACAGCACCAGATTCTTTCCTCCAACAAATAAGCCAGTGCTCGACCCTAGGAGAGGACCTTTTAGAGACACAAGACAGCCAACTAAGGCCACTAGTATTTTCCTTGGTACAGAGAAAGCATGCAGTGACAGTCCAGATAAGTCTTCTGACCCCAAGTTCAGAGATAGGAAAATGTTCTGCCCGTACTGTGATGCTCAAGATCACTACCTGAATGGGTGTTCCAGTTTCCAGAAACTTAACA